CAGCCCCCCCAAATCCCACCCCAAAATCCCCCTCCCCAATTCCCCCCTAAGCCCCGCCCCTTTCTGCCCAGTCCCGCATCCGATCTAAGCCCCTCCCCTTCCGGCCCCGCCCACCTGGAGGCGGCCAATGGCGGCTCGCAGCTGGAGGACCTGTGCCTGCTGCTCCCACACGGCGTCGCGCTGTTCCTGCACCCGCCTGCAGGGGGCGCCGTGTCAACGGGCGGGGATTAAGAACGGACAGGGGGCGGGGCTTAAACCGGATGGTGGGCGGTGCCAATCGCTTCGTGTTGGACGTAAGGGGGCGGGGCTTGGGCTCAATAGGGGCGTGGCCTAACATCAATGCGGGGTCTGGTCGTAGGTGTGGCTTTAAACCGTGGAGGCGTGGCTACCGCGGGGAAATGGGCGGGGCTAAGCAGATGTGGGCGGGGCTTAGCCTTCCCATGGAGGTGGGCTTAAGCAAAGAGAGGGCGTGGCTAGCAGTCTGTGGGTGTGGCTTATCGCAAAGGGGGGCTCGGTCATTCAAATCAGTGGGCGGGGCTTCCAGCCATGTGGGCGTGGTTTCGTGTCTTTTCAATACAGGGCTTGGTGATATGGGGCGTGGCCAAAGCAGAAAGGGGCGGGGCCTCGAGCAATTGTGGCGAGGATTGGACACAGGGGCGGGGGGTTGAGCGGGGTGGGCAGGGTTTATAGGTAGGGGGCGGGGCTTATAGGAGGTGGTAGGGGTCCCGTTTGGAGACTATTTGGGGTCCTACTGGGGTCCTTATTTAGGGTCAATTTGGGGTCCCTTTGGTGCCCTATTTGGGGTCCCTTTTGGGGTCTCTTAGGAATCCCATTGGGGTCCCTTTGGGGTCCCATTCAGGTCCCTATTTAGGGTCCCATTAATGCCCTATTTGGGGTCTCATTGGGGTCCCATTCAGGTCCCATTGGGGTCCTATTGGGATCCCTTTGGGGTCCCATTCAAGTCCCTATTTGGGGTCCCATTCATTTCCCTATTTGGGATCCCATTGGTGCCTATTTAGGGTCCCTTTGGGGTCCCATTCAGGTCTGTATTTGGGATCCCATTAATGCCCTATTTGGGGTCCCATTGGAGTCCCGTTCAGGTCTCTGTTTGGGGTCCGTGCTGGGTCCCATTGGGGTCCCAGTTTGGGGTCCCTTTGGGGTCCCATTCATGTCCCTATTTGGGATCCCATTTAGGTCCCACTCAGGTCCCTATTTGGGGTCTCATTGGGGTCACATTCAGGTCCCATTCAGGTCCCATTGGGGTCCTATCGGGGTCCCTATTTGGGGTCCCATTGGGGTCCCATTGCCGCTCCATTACGGAGCGTTGCGGGGTGTCGCGCGCTGATGACGTCACTGACCGCAGGTCCCGCTGCAGCACGTCGCTGACGAACGCCTCGTAGCGCTGCGCTTTCCCCGCCGCCATTTTTCCCTGCGCGCAGCGATGACGTCACGTCACACGTCATCAATGCGCGACACGCCCCCCGCCTCCTTCCGCCTCCCGGTCCTGGCAGGGTTGTAAAGGCGCGTCTTCCTTTGGGGCTCCTGCAGCTTTGTGGGCTTATGGGGCTCCGCCCCCCCGATTTGTGGGGTTTCTTTGTCCCTTCCTCCGGGCTCTGTGACGTCACAACGGGGCCGGAAACCCCGCCCCTCTCCGCCTCCCTCTGCGTCACTTTGCGACAGCGCCGCTTGCCGGCCGGGAGCGCTTTACGGCAGCGGGCGCACAGAGGAGGCGGCGTGAGGTGCGTGAAGGAACGGGGCGGAAATGGCGGAGGGGTCACGGCGGGAGGCAATGGGGGTCGCGACGGGATTCTGTCAGCCTTTCCCCCTTCTCCCCACAGTGCCATGGCGGTGGCGGAGCGGAGCGTTGCGGAGGAAGGAGAGGAAGAGGCTTCGGCCGAACTCGAGACCTCAGAGCCGGAAGTGGCGGAGGAGAAACCGGAAGCGGAGGAGAAGCAACGGAAGAAAGTTCCGGTCCCGGGAGTTGTTTATCTCAGTCACGTCCCTCCCGGTTTCGGACCTCGGCAGCTGCGGACGTTGCTGGGGGGTCACGGGGAGCTGGGCCGGGTCTTCCTGCAGCCCAGGGGTGAGA